TTTGACTGAGCAAGGATTTGGTCAGTTATTGTGCGAGCACAGAATAAAGCTAATTAGGCCGTGAGGATGAAAATCATCCCAGTTACGGCTGTAAATGATGTGAAGAGCTTGGGGTGTGCTGTCTGTGTTAGGATAGGCATTACTGTACTTACTAATGTCCATATCTGGCCCTTGTTCATGTTGAAAAGCACCTTTTTTCGATAAGCTCTACATATGTTTTCATGGAATTACTCCAGGAGTGAGGTATTGCTCACCCAGGAGTAAGGCTGATGGAATCTGGCCTTCAGTAGGGGATTTATTAAAGAACTGCACATGATCATAACCTTCTGTCTATTTATGAAAGCCACAATTCAGCAAAGCACTTACGTGTGTGCTTAAGTCCCATTCAAGTCAAGACATTAAAGTTAAACTAATAACCGTTGTAATGCAAACCCCTGGCCTTCACACCTTCCTACAAATGTATTTAGCTTCTATTTCTTGTTCTTAGAGCCAGAGCATGAGTCTAAAACTGGGATTTCCTCAGAAATGCAACTCAGTGCATTTAATTACACAAATGACCAAAGCAAGGAAGGGTTAACAATAATGGGAATGTGTGGAAATGGGTGGAAATTCATCATCCTCTTTGGTTGCTCTTTGTGCAAGGAACTGAAAGTGGTAATGTCCTGTTAGCACACACTTCATTCACTAAAGCATTGTCAGCTAAATTTGCCCTTTGTTACACGGTTTCAATCCTATTGACTTTGGTGGGATTGTCCTGGCATAACATGGGGAAGGATTGGCCCTTGGACTCTCCAATTTGCGTTGAATTGTCTAGAATTTGCAAGCTGATTGTATTCATGCACTTAACTGGTTTCTTCACAGGGAGCGGGAACAAAAGACAGGACTCTGATTCGAATTATGGTGTCGCGCAGCGAGGTTGACTTGCTGGATATACGCACTGAATACAAGCGGATGTATGGCAAATCCCTCTACGCGGACATCACAGTAAGACTTTTTTTTTTTAATTATTTTTCTCCTACTGTTGATTCTTGTACGTACCATAAAACCCCACCCCTGACACTGAATCACTGAGTGTATGCTCCCTGCTTCTCTCTTCATGCATGGAGGGCCAAAGTGCCATGGAACAGCTGTGTGAGGAGGAGACTGGGAAGAGGCTATATGGGTGGCTTCTGTCTTGGCAGCAGTGGAATGTGGTTTTGGAGAGAGGCCAAAGGATCAGCATCTCCACAGATTCACTGGCAGCCACCTCACTTGCAGATGAGATGTGTTGGGTCCCCAGCCTGTACTGGAGTGTAACGGGCTGTAATGGCAGCCCAAGAAACTGCCTGCACAGCAACTCCGTAACCTGGCCATGGAAGATATGGAGTGGACTACTGTCCCCAACCCTTAGCAAATGCTCACTACAAGTCTGTCTTTGGGTGGAGATGCATTTGCACTATAATTACTAGTATGTAAACTAGAGCCCGAAAATTGGACATGCTGTCAGCTGGGTGGGAAAGGGCTGTGTGGTTGTGTGTAAAATCAGCTCTTTTTACCAGGCAGCAGCAATTGCTGGTGCTAATCAGTTTAAACAGAGTTTGTGGTTCAAAGATATGAACCCATGGTGATTCCGTTTATTAGACTTTGATTATTCAGGAGACTGTGGGTGTGAATTAAAAAGTAGTTATAATATATATGGCCCTATTTCTGTTTCCTTTGAAGTAAAAGTGGAAACTTCCATTGACTTAAATGCAAACAGGATCAGGTTCCTAATCCATATTCCCCTTCTTAATGCACAACAGCCCCCTCCTTCCATTGACCATGGCATAGATCTGATTATTACATTTTGAGGATTTGTCCTATTGTATTGAAGCAACTTCCAAACACAGCTGAGAACTGCTGTGACACTGTTAATCCACACAGAACAGTTCGCAGCCATGTCCAAAACCAGATTGTAGCATGGCTTTAGCTAGTACACAATATTCTTGGACAGGAAGAGTATTGCACATTGTCATTCAGAAACAGATATTTAAAATGATTGTAGCTGGCATGTCTCTGCTCCTGAGGACAGGACTCTATACGAACCATTGGTGAATTTCAGCCAGTATGGCATTTGTCATGAGATATTTGTTAGCTGCAAGATGTCTCTTGTAACTTTTTTACTTCCCTCTCTTTCATCCTACCCAACACATACATACTTTCTTTGATTTCTCACTTGGTTTGGGCCTAAATGGAAGCTTTTTTGCTTTTTCTTTTAAACCATGCCACAGAATGCAATAGATGTGTTTTAGCAGTGAGAAATCATGCTGCTAGAGTCATTAATGTGAAGTCACCCATTTCAGCCATACTGGTGTCTGGTAGAACACTATAAGGGCTTTATTCTCATTGCATGTTCCCATAACACAGCTGGATGGAAGGTCAGAGGGAAAGAAAATACGGGCCCCATTTTTCCAGTTTCCATCACATTTCCATAGTAGATTGTCATCTTTTTAAGGGGAGATGTTTTTATGCTGCTGCTGGAAAATTAGGTGAATTTGAATACCGAAGGACAAGTTGGTGTGTCCTCCATGACAGAAAACATAGCACAGTACTTATGAGTCCAGGACGGTCTTCTGAAGAAATATATTCTTGAAGGGTTTTTACTAGATAAATCCTAAGGATCCTTCTGTGGACTTTTACTGTGTTTGGGATCAATTCTTTATTAGCCCTGGGATCTGGAATTCAAATGTGGAGTCTAGAATAATGAAGGCTCCTCTTTATTAAAGGCTACCCTCAGTCTATTTTTGGCCATTCTAAATGTTGGGATCCGTACAGTGCATCTTCTCTCACCTCCCTCACAAAAAACAGAAACAAAAAAGAAGTGTTACAATTAGATGGCTTTCTTTCCCTAACTTTTTCCCTTTGGATTTGTTGCTAGGGTGATACTTCAGGAGACTACCGGAAAATCCTGCTCAAGTTGTGTGGTGGAAATGACTAAGTGGAGCTTGCTGCTTTTCTGTTATTGCGTTAAAATATCAATGTTGGGTTTGGTTTCTTTTTGTTTTCCAAAAAACCAAACAGACCGTGAATTGTTTTCCTAAACCTACTATGGATGTGTAAAACTAACTCTCCATATCTTCCCCTTTCCATCCAAAAATGTATAATAAACACAAGAAAATCTAGCTATTGTAGAAACTGCTCAGGATTTTTTTAATCACTTTCTAGTTAATGAATAACAGATGATTATTTCTGCTTGCATCCTTAGCTACAATAATTTTGTTTCCTGGTTTAAAAAAAAAATATCAGCCTTGTTGTTGATTTAAAGGTGGGGGAGGATTGGGGGTTTTGTTTTGGATGCTTTTTCTATGGACATTTTATGAGTCTCTCTCTTTTTTTTTTTTTCCCACATGCAAATTTTCTTGTATTTGTTGCACACAGTGGTTTTGTGTGCATGAATGGAACCACCCTCACTTTGTTTTGCATCTAATTATATTGTTTGTTAAAGAAGTTTTACTAAATACTTTTTTTAAGGAAGACCTGCTCTGCTCTTTATGCTTCACTGCAAATATCACAAGAATGTAGCATCAATATCAATTCAGCCTCTCCAGTTAATATTTTTGGATTGTGCCTTAAAAGCAATGCATAAATCTACGAGGACTGTAAAATTAAAGCCATGTATCTTTTAAACCACCGACAACAGCTTCCTTTTGTTTTTAATATCATCCTACATTTTGTGTTTTGACTCAGTTAAACCACATTACTTGGGACTTAGATGGAAACATTCTGCTGGAACTGAGTAAGGATCATCCACAAACAGAACTGTTCTAGCCAATGGCAGTGCCTTGCTAATTTTGCATAGCTATTCTGTTTTTCTTTTCTTATGCAATTTCTCGCACACTGATTAGATGTGGGTGTTTTGACTTGTTTAATCAATGCTCTGTTTTTTCTCAGTAGGCATGTACCAAATATGCAAATCTCTCTACTCTGACTCATCTCTTCTATGATTGGCTCCTGTAACGCTCTGAATTGTCAGACCTTTTGCCACAACATGAATGCCTCTTCATCTTGTCACTCCCAAAGAAGGAAAATGCCTAAATTTTCAAGAGAGTAGGAGGTGAGGGAAAGGGAAAGATTTAGAGAAAATGCAAAGCCATGTTCTCTGATCTTGTTCCTTCCACTTTTATCTACTAAAACTCAGCCAGGCGCTTGTTCCTAGGATAAATTACTTTGTTTACACTGGGAGAAGCCTAGGCCTTCCAAATTCAGGTTTGAAACAACATGTAAGCAAATACCTATTGGTGGTGTTCTGGGGAGAGGAGCCTGGCTAGGGATGGGATGGGAGGCAAATGACTTCAAACTTTTTTTTTTTTTTTTTTAAATCTGCTTTGCCAACCGTGGTTTTACAGCTCAATTAGTCTTAACCTTTGCCTAGTCAAACCTTCCTCAGAATAGTCTGGGGAATAAATTTACCTTCACCTAATAAGCTCCTTGGCCTTCAGCCTTTAGAGTTTTAGTTGCTTCGAATGCCTCCATCTTTGGCCTTGGAATCAGTTCACCACAAAAAAGCCAAGGCAAGCAGTGTGAGGCTGTTATAATAATGTGACTGCACTTCCAGTTTGTTACCTCCTACTGTATCCAACATTCTAGCTTCAGATATGGATATGCCACTCGCATTTCAGGCAAAGGTAGGGATGTACTTGTATACCAATTCAGAACACCCCTAGTTCTGTCAGACCAGTCTAGGAGTGTGTTAAGAAAATTCTGAACGGAAATCATAATTGAATACATGTCTCCACCAGTACACACTGGTGACAAGAGCTGAATTCTTAGGTAGAAAGGAGTAACAGCCACTTCCTGGACTTTGAGATTGTGGTAGTTGAGTTTGTCAGGTGTGATCTGCCCCAGGTAATAAGGAGAAAGGATCAGGCTGAAATTTTCAAAACTGCTGATGTCAAGGGATCTTTGAAAATCTCACCTTCCAAATGCACGTTTCGTCCACTGTGGGGTCTAGATTGCTTGTAAGATAAAGCTTTACAACTATGTCTGAAAAGCAATTCTTTTTATTAAAAAGCACAAACACAAAGTAATTGACTTCTCAGTGTTCTTCATCCCTCTTCAATCTCTAGAAATCCTATAAGGCATATTAAAGCAACAAAGTGCAACTGTCTGAGACAACCATACTGTGGAATATTATTAAATTCTGTTCTCTTCCATTGTCCTGGTGCTCAGCTGGCATCTGTGGGGAGAAGGTTTGATGATATTTTTGGTGATATGAAGGCGAAATAGATACTTCACATGTGTGAGTTTTTTGACACTTTAAAGAACAAATAAGAGAGTGGCTCTGCTAAGTATGAGAGAGGCTCTACTGATTCATTGAGTCACAGAGGGGAGACCCCTGCAGTCTCTCTACAATTCTTGATAATTCAACAATTTCTTCTCTTTCCCCCACACCTCCCTAGTATATACTGTACCTTGTAAAATATAAATAACACTGTCTTCTTTCCTAATTCTACAAATCAGGTTACATCTGACTTCCATTTTATAGTCCCTCAAATGTTTTCATTTTTGGAAAAACGTGTAGCTAAGGTAGGGGAGAGCATTCAGTACTGATCAGTAACTGTGGTTAAAGGAGAGACAGCATGGTATAACGAATAGGCACTGGACTGGGATGCAGGAGCCCTTGGTCCTAAACCCAGCTCTTGATGCTGACCTGGAGCCAGGTTTCTCAGGGGGGCTGAGGCACTGGAATGAACTTCCACACGAACCAAGGTCCATCATAAACCTTGGGCTCCATGTGCCCGTGCAAGGCACACTTCTGCAACCTACCTTCTCAAAACACCCAGCTGTGTGTACATTAAATAACCAAAAACCTCACCAAAACAAAATCCTATATTCCAAGCACAGGTTTTTTTTCCTTTGAAGAGTGAATGGGAGAGAGAACAAACTACATGTGACAAATATTAGTCACTTCACTTAATGCATGACTGGCAGGTACTCAGCTACTAAAGTGATGAGTTCTATGCAAAAGCGTGTATTGCAGTGTCACCTTGTAGAAGTCACTTCACCTCTCTGGGCATGTTGGTTTGCAGATGCTCTTCATGCATGCATGCATTTGGTGTTCAAGCTCTGCATTTCAAAAGTAAATTCAAGCTACCAAAAATGTAATCTTTCCAGTGATTTTCAAAAGACTATATGTGGGGCTACAACTTGGGGGGGAAAAATGGACACTTTGGTGTAGCACAACAAAAACTATTGCTGACCTTCCTACAAGCTATCCCTAGGAGATACTGACCATCAAAAATGTCCATGAGGGGGATTCCAGGAGCAGTTGGGGCACTCCATGCTGTTTCACTGATGTCCTTCAGTAACGTCTTCACTTCTGACTCAAGATACTCGACTGTTTTTTCTACCTGCTAATAAAAACAGAGGCAGGGAAGTCAGGATAGGATGGAGGGGAAAGACTACGAAGCTTGCTGGTAAAATAGGTAACTGAGGGTCAGGACGTGAGCTACAACTGTGTTTAAGTCCTGTAGTCATCTAATCAGTTGAACTGCCTGTTGGTTTAATAACTTTTGTGTCGTACTGACCTCTGGTGGCCATGAGAGATTAAACCTTCACACTTCATTAAATTTTTGTTTTTTACATGTAGCAGCTCAATAAACTGAGTTGTGTGTAATGTTGGCTTTTGGAGGACGGGTTAGAAAGGATGTGTTTGTTTGAGCCAGCAAAGCACCCAGGAAAACCCAACCAATGGAGAAGCTGGGTCAGAGGTGCCGGGGGGAGGGACTGCCTGTTAAGAACTGAGAAAAGGCAGATTAGGAGCCAGCGCATGTGCTTATTGAAAACACTTGGTGCTGAACATAAAGCTTGTATTGCAGATGCTTCCTACACTATGGCAAGACCCTAAAGGGCCCAACTTGACTAGAAATCCATTCACTGCCTTTATTTGGGTTTTAAGCATCTGCAGTAGCCCAGCCTCCTCCTTCAGCCATGAAGTCTGCAAGGAACTTGTGTTAATGTTCTCTCGCAGCTAATAATGATCTGATGTGACAGCTTTGGCTGGGCACTAGGAGCAATTAAATATCAGTGTTGTGAGCTACAATATGAACCCAGTCATAAGTTTGACACCTCAGCCAGCAGCACTGATGTGGACACATAATCTTTTGCCATAGGCTTTGCTCCAGTCTAGCACCTGGAAATAGGTAATGGCCTTGTTAACCTTCCAGCCGTACTGCACAAGCAATCTTCGCTGCAGACTTTTTGGGAAGAATGGGGGTGGGGGTTGAGAGTGGAAACTCTCTGGGTTTGAAGTTGAATTCAAGGGGTAGGGTGGACTAGTCCTGTCCTGGGACAATCCAATATTCAAAGAAATTCTGTTTGCAGCCTATATTTTGAAGCACTAAGAAAGATTTTTATAAAGGGTGAATGAGTGAACTCTTAGTAAATAGTTAATCAGGGGTTGAACCTAGTAAGTTAATATGATCTTTAACCATGGATACAACAGGTGTGACCTGCCCTTTACAGGCCAGGAGGCGTGGGGCCAGCCCTTTTCTATTAGCAATGCCCTCCCATGCCACACCTGTGGAGGCTGTAGGATTTTTAAGAAGGTATGAAGCAAGCAGAGGTGGGCCTATTAGAAAGTGCTATAGGGGTGTGGCTAGTTCCTGTAGTGAGCCCTGGAACAAAGGAACTAGCCATAGATGGTCATATGCCCCTCAGAAGAAGGTGTTTCAGATAAGTCATTGACCAGGCCAGGTTCCAGGAAGGCAGCCCTGGGGGCCAGTGTTCCTGTAGAGGACCACGGAGCTGAGGGAGAGGAAGAAGTGGTGAGTGACTTCTTCTGTTCCAGGGGAGATGTAGGCTCTCTGTGAGGGAAAATCCTGTGTAGCAGCGCTCTAGTAAGGAAGGAGAGAGACTTGATTTAAATCACCTGAAGCCCAGGTGGGATGGAAGCCCATTTTGGTTTCTGTTGTGCTTGGATTCCCAGGAGGGAATAGCCCAGGGAATCGGCGCTCTAGTGAAGGCTCAGAAGAACAGGGTTGAGCCTGGGAGGGATAGAAGAATTGTGTAAATTTATGTAATGTAGGACTATTGGTGAAGGTGGTGGTGATCCACTTGAAGGGCCAAGCCATGTGAATCCCTAGAAGAGATATACAAACCTGGGGTAGGAATGCTGCAGTGCCACCCTGTGCTATGAGGGGGTTCTCTGGAAGTAGGTCCCCAGTTTCAATAACGTATCTGAAACACCTTCTTTTGAGGGGCATATGACCATCTATGACCCATACTGCTCCAGTCTGTAACACGTTTGTAGTACTTAATGAAGAATTAAGTGCTATAAATGTACCCTTGATATAACACATGATGACTAAACCAACTAAACAACTGCATGGAAAGAGATGCCCCTTCTCTTTTCTCTCAGGTCCAGCCTAATCTCTATGGAAGCTCTGGTCCAGCAACCTACAGATGTACTATGGGTGAAATCCTGGCTCCTCTGAAGTCAGTGGCAAAATTCCTATTGACTTCAGTGGCACCAAGATTTTATCTCCTGCCTTTAAGCACTTAGTTCTGCTGCAGATAGGGCAAGAACACTGGCCTGGCTAAACTGAATCTGGGAAGGAAAAGTGCCCGAAAATGTGGCCTCTTGCCCCACCTTTTTGGTCAGCCTATTCGGACAAAGCTCTGGTTTGGGGCCAGGTGGCAGCAGTTCTTACCTCTTCGATCACATCTAAGCGCCTATGGATTGTGTTGTGTTCATTGCACCAATCGCTCCTTCCTGAACTTCCAGGTAGTATGCTGACAGGATCTGCGGCAGCTGTGGAAACCATTACAGTCATGTGACAGGGCTTTGCTACTGCTAACAGTTGATGACCTTTCATCAGGCAGCCCAGCTTGGAGTTCTAACGACTGAAGGGCTCTTGGGATGTTAAAGAGAATGCAATGAAACACCAACATAAGATTTTGAACCTGTGATCCTAATAACTAAGCCCCCTAAACCAGTCCCTAAGGTGTTATGTTGTGGTACACACACGGGGGTTGTTGGGATCAAGCTGTACGCTTTTTGAGACCATTGATTTTCTTCCTTGACATGTAGCCCTTGTTATATGCATATTCTGTGCTTTCTATAACATTGCTGTATCTCTACTAATGTATATCCTGATGGTCAAAGAGGTGCAGTTGTCCTTCCACATGACTCTGTACTAGCCTTCCGCTAAAGGAAAGTGGTGTACCCTGGCCTGGAAGGGCACGCCTGTTTGCTTATGCTGCTTGAAGGGATACAGCTATCTGTTTGGTGATGCCTGTTGCCATTGAACAAGTGTCTGTTGCTCTAGTTTCACAACAGGGAGGAGAAATAATCAAGACGTGTACAAATGATGTTTTGTTGACAAATGGTGTGTCTGTGGGGCTGTTTACAATGTGGTTAATCTTTGTTTATCTGCTTAGTAGTGCTGTTGATTGTTTGTTTGCATTGCTCTTCCTCCTGATTTACTCAGAGACTTGACTGAGGGCACTAATGAGCTCCTTTCACTTCATATTAGTGCACTTTTCATTTTCTTGTCTGTAGCCTCTGAGAGGACCATGGGTATGGGTTAGGAGTCTGCCAGCATTCATTCATTAATGTAGCCGTCTCATGATGAATTCGCTTTAATAATTCTTTCATGTCTGTTATGCACTGCTGCATTAGGATTTTACACAAAGGCTTACAAAACCCTATCAGTTCTTAACAAAATTCATAACGAACGGTACCTCCAAAGACACAAGCATTTCAGCTGGGAATGCTGAATGTGAAAGGATAGGATGCAGGACAGTCCTGTGGAAAAGGGTGTGAGCTAAGAGACCAGTGTTCTATTTCCGGCTCTGCCACTGATCTGCTGTGAGCAAATTAATACACCCCACACATCTTGTCTATTTTTACTTTTAAGGTCTTTGGGATGGGATTGTCTCTGTGTTTGTACAGGACCCAGAGCAATGTGCGTCTCCTTTCCTTTGGTCTCGCTTCTGTTGTTGGGTTCAGTGTGTGGGTGCTGGATGGCATTGGTAGACAGTGGTATGTGGGATGTCAGAGTAAATGATCTAGGCATCCTTTCTGGCCTTAAACAAATAATAATGAGTTAATTTTAAGAACCTCCTATTAAAAAGATAACTGACAAACACTAAAGAAATAGATCATGCCCTTTTTAATAGCAGAATGTGTCACTGTTACAAGATGCTTCTTCACTAACGCTCATGGAACTCATTGGGAGTTTTTTCTATCAATATCTATAAGTGCTGAGCCACCTTTTCCATCCCCACCTCCCACCACCCCCCGCTCTACTACAAACTGTGGAGAGGGGAAATGGGTACAAAATATACATTAGCTGATGAATATTCTATTGAATTTAAGTACAGTTATAAAGTGGCTAAGAGCCACAATTGTTGCACTAAAAGTTGTCCCTTGAACAGAATCTTAGAATTGTAGGGCTAGAAGTGACCTCAAGAGGTCAGCAAGTCCAGCCCCCTGTGCTGTGGCAGGACCAAATAAACCTAGACCATCCCTGCAAGGTGTTTGTTCAACCTGTCTTTTAAAATCCTTCAGTGATGGGGATTCCTTAACTTCCCTGGGAACCCTATTCCAGACTTTAATTACCTTCACCGTTTGAAAGTTTTTCATAATATCTAACCTAAATCTCCCTTGCGGCAGATTAAATCCATTACTTCTCTGGGTCCAGTGAAAGTAGGACAAGAACAATTGATTGTCTGTTCTCTTTATACATACCACCCTTAACGTGTTTGAAGACTTATCAGCTTCCCCCCACCCCCAGTCATCTTTTCTCAAGACTAAACATACCCAGGTTTTTAACCTTTCTGCATAGGTCATAAATCTTTTATCATTTTATTGCTCTCCTCTGGACTCTCATTAATTTGACCACGTTTCCTAAAGTGTGGTGCCCAGAATTGGACCCATTACTCCAGCTGAGGCCTCATCAGTGTGGAGTAGAGTGGGACAATTACCTCCCACATCTTCCATATGACACCCCTGTTAACCCACTGCCAAATGATGATTGGATTTTTTTTTTTTGCAGCTGCATCACATTCTTGACTCATTCCACTTGAGATCCTCTATAACCCCCAGATCTTCAGTACTACTACTGCCTAAAAGTTATTCTCTATTTCTGCAGTAGTGCATTTGATTTTTTTTCCTTCTTCCTAAGTGAAGTACTTTGCACTTGTCTTTACTGAGTTTCATCTTGTTGATTTCAGACCAATTTTCCAATTTGTCAAGATCATTTTGAATTCTAATCCTGTCCTCACAAGTGCTTGCAACCTTTCCAAGTTCAGTGTAATATGCAGATTTTATAAGCATACTCACCACTTTGTCCAAGTCATTAATGAAAATATTGAATAATACCACACTCAGGCCTGAACCCAGGCAAGACTCCACTAGATCCTCTCTCCCAAGTTGACAGTGAATCATTGATAACTATGCTGTGAGTACAGTCTTTCAACTAGCTGTGCACCCATCTTATAGGAATTTCATCTCGACCCAATTTCCCTTGTTTGCTTATAAAAATGTTATGTGGGCCTGTGTCAAAAACCCTTACTAGAATCCAGTTATATCACATTTACTGTGTCCCTGTTCCCTCCCCCCGCCTCCCACCCCGCTTTATTCACTAGACTGGAGTGTCGCAGATAAAAGAAGATATTTTCTGAAGCTAGATTATTTTTTTTCTAATCTACAATGTGATTTGATCTTTATTTTAAAATGGGTTAGTCAATGCTTAAATAAATACCATTTCCAATCTTCTCTTTGAAGGTAGATTTTGATTTGTTTCAGTGAATTCACCAATAGGTGGCGCTGCTGGGACTGAATCCTACTACAGCAATATGCCAATTTAACTCTCAGCAAGGACTGCTGGAATTTGGCTTGTACATAGCTACTCAGTATTCTGCAAATGGATACAGAACACTACAGTCATCAATATTTTGTTGCTACTATTGATCTGGAAACATGTTTATGCTATCTTAACTACAAGTAAAAAGGAAGTCTGGCTATAAGAACTGACTGCATAGATCAGTTATGAAACAGTAATTTGTCATGACAGTTATGCAAGACTATCATAATGGGGTAAGCTCCATTCTACTGAGAGAGGCTAATAAAATCTCTCTCCCGCTCCAATATTTACAGATTTAAGACTGATCTGATTCAGCAGCATGCTGAGTTGCAGCCTTTCCTGTCTAGAAGACCTAGGTCAAGGAGAATTGCATGTGTACCTTGCCTGCTGCTATTCTTTTCAGAAGTTACATGTATGATTCTCAGATATGCAGTGTTCTCATTAGCAAAGTTGATTTATTAACAGAGCATAGCGGCAGGTCAGATGTGAAGGAAACAGTTTCTAATTCAGCTTGTTAAGAACTTCCCCAGGTTTAACCACAATGGGTAAATGCTGTAAAAGTAAAATGTGTGGTATTCATGAAAATGGAAAGGAACATTGACATCTATAACCTCTGATGCATACTGAATGCTCTTGTTCTGAGCTTAGTACAGCAAATACAGGAAGGTAACCCCGTGTAAAAATCCCACAATGGAATATTATTCTCTTCAGTGTTGAGTGCTGCGATAACCTAATGGTAGGTGGCTGGATCAGGAGGATATTGGAAGGTTTGAGTAGGGACCCAGCATCCAGTGTGTACATTTGTTAAAGTACCCTTTGGTCAGCTTTAAGTGCCAGATTCATTTAAGTTTGCTCGCTTTATGGAAACAGAATGCAAGGAAGTTAGTGTTTAGCCAATGCTGCCTCCTCATTATGATCCTTATAACGTTCATGTAGGTTATAGAAAACACAGGGCTCTATTGGCATGAATGGACACTGCTGGACACTTGTGCTGCTGGACACTGACTGTGATATTGGGGTTCTCTCTGCTTCTCTAATTCTTCCAACAGTCTGCAGTGCCTGGAACCACAAGATTTCCTTACATCTTGGCCCCGACTTAGGCCTTGCCTACGCTACAGGGAAAAGTCGATCTAAGATACGCAATTTGAGCGATGTGAATAGTGTAACTAAAGTCGACATAGCTTAGATCTACTTACGGTGGGGTCCACACTATGCTATGTCAACGGGAGACGCGCTCCCATTGACTCCCCTTACTCTTTTTGATCCGGTGGAGTACAGGAGTCGATGGGAGAGCGATCCGTGGTCGCTTTAGCGGGTCTTCACTAGACTCAATGCATCAACTGCCACACGTTGATCCCCAGGTAAGTGTAGATAAGCTCTTGGCAGCCATGGAGAATACTGCTGACTACGATGTGGCAAAATGGGAGTTAGAAGCAGGGATGGTACAATTAGGCCTTCTTCAAAGAACCAGCTTTTGTCTTTACTTTGCCTTGTCTATCCGGGTGTGTCATAAATATAAAGGGAAGGGTAAACCCCTTTGAAATCCCTCCTGACCAGGGGAAAGCTCCTCTCACCTGTAAAGGGTTAAGAAGCTAAAGGTAACCTTGCTGGCACCTGACCAAAATGACCAATGAGGAGACAAGATACTTTCAAAAGCTGGGAGGAGGGAGACAAACAAAGGGTTTGTGTCTGTCTGTGTGCTGCTCTTGCCAGAGACAGAACAGGAATGGAGTCTTAGAACTTTTAGTAAGTAATCTAGCTAGGTATGTGTTAGATTATGATTCCTTTAAATGGCTGAGAAAAGCATTGTGCTGAATAGAATAACTATTTCTGTCTGTGCATCTTTTTTGTAACTTAAGCTTTTGCCTAGAGGGGTTCTCTATGTTTTTGAATCTAATTACCCTGTAAGATATCTACCATCCTGATTTTACAGGGGGGATTT